TGGGTGCGGGGCTGCTGGGGCAATGTCTGGCACTAATAATTTAGCATGGGATCAACCAGATCAAGATTCGCGTGCGTAGCCAGGCGCCAGGCGCTTAGCTCGCTTGCCATGTTTCGCGAATTCGTTTGGGCACAGCTTGCCCAGCGGTGTGGTGGTATCAGCAATTTAATTGGGGTTTTGCAAGCGTTAGTGATGACACATATTGAATTTATGTATTATATGTATTACTTCAAGCCGGGTTGCACAAGTTGTAAGTCACGTTCACCCCGAAGGTTCCGCTCTTCGCTCTCCGAACCTTCAGCCTCCTTCGGCTCGGAGCGAGCGGGCTCGCGCGGGAGCTGAACTAGAGCGCAAACCGCGCGCGGTGAAAAACGGAGCGGCTACTGCCAACATGCAGTGTTGCAAGAAAGCTCCAGAAGAGGTTCATGAACTTGTTCCAGGAGGTGGTCCCAAAGTCCGAGTAATTCTCGAAATCCGAATGTACTCTCGTGAGTGGCCAGGAGATATGGTGGCGGTACTTGCGAGGAATGAGTCTCAGGACAAGACGTTTCACCCCAAAATGGTGGAGGAGAACGGCTGGCACGACAGAGTCTACATGGATGACTATCAGCCAGACGACCAGCTAGCTGTGTATATCTATCGGGACCGCAACGGGGGCATCGAACAAGGATACATCGAAAAGATCGACATTTCCGGCGACAAAGTCAAGCAGGAATTGACACCTGAGTTGATGGGCGCCGACGGGAACAAGCACGATGTGATGGTCGTATCTCGTGTAAAGATTGCATTTCTTGGGATGCAATGGGACAGGGATATCAGCGCTTCCGCGCAATTGATTGACAAGGGAGCTGAGCTGTTTGTTCCGTTCTGATGGATCAGCCACAGGGTTGGGCAACTTGATGGCAGTGTAATTCTTATTAATTCTTTAAAGGTTCAAACATGTTTCAACATGATGGGTTCATGTTCCATGTTTTCTGACTCATCCAACCAACGGGCAACCGTGTGATCTCTCTTTTTTCTGGCTCTGATCCATCTCGGACGGAACACGTTTACCCTGTGGAATTCAAAGACGAAAAGACGCCAAGACCCTGTGGATTTGGCCGGAGCCGCGGCGAAGAGATGAAGAGACGAAGACCTCTCTCGCGGTCTCGCGCGCGCTCTCCGAGACCTGGAGTGGGACCACCAATGGGGAGGACGTCGACGTCCATCGACGGGTCCCGTTTGGAGGGTACTCGTCTCAGAGGCCAAACCGCGGGAGATCTGCCGAACCATTCCGCCAGAGCCTGGGTGTCCAGGGTCAACTTGGTGCCAGGTCATTGAAGAGATAGGGCGCAGTTGTGTTGTTTGTTTTCTGATCACCAAGTTCAGTGGTCTGAATGTGAAAGAGCCTGGGTCATTGACATGCTTCATTTCTTTGCAAGGACCGTGTGGAATGCTTGGTTTCACGGCAGATAGACGTTGGCAGTGTCCATTTGATGGCACCATCAGTTGCACAGGTGTCACTTTTGGGAGAGTCGTTGCTCGGACATCATGCTCAAAAGATGGCCGATATCTATATGCCAACTATAAAACACGTGTTGGAACTATAAAACAGTTGGTTTTTAAGAACATCTCAGCTTCTTCAGAGAACGTGCATGAAGACCGAAAGGACGATTCTCTTCACCTGTCACAGGGCGAACGGTTCACCTCCGGTGCCCCCAAACACTTCCAGTCGAATCGAGACATTTGCAAAGGTTCAATTGAATTGGAGTCCCCAAAGAAGTGCTTTCTGCCTTCACCCTTGGTTGCGGCCAAGGGGTTTGAGTCGAGTCGATTTTGCACAGCTCGTCTTTCTGTCTGACTTATGATGGAGTTATGGCATGATTGCTTGAAGACAATGTTGACATCCTTATGGCATCCTTATGGCATGATTGCTTGGACTTATGGCATCCTTATGGCATTGAACGACATGTCGCATGATGGATTGAAGCTTTGACTCGCCGGTGGGTCGAAACAAAGCGTTCGTCCGCTCCCAGGAGCACAAGAACGCCTTGACCTTCCTCACTGATCTCGCATCCAAAGTGGGTGAGGATGCCAGAGATCTTAAGGTCCCTTTGTGGGAGCAGGGCCACTGATTTTCATCGTTTGATATCGTTTGGCTTGGTTGAGGGTCAAAAAAAAACGCGATTCCCAGCAATTCGCAATGGAGTGTTTCGTAGAACAGAACGCTGAATGCCGCCACAAGAAAGTTTCTGTGGACTCACCACGTCAAAAGTGCGCGCCTCTTTTGGCACCCCAAGAAGTGCGAAAAGCATTTGTTTTAAGCTATGGGGGCCCTGAAGGCCCTGAAGCTCCCTTCGAAGGTCCGCAGTGGATCATTCGTTGGTCCTTCGTTAAACAGTGGACGTTCGTTCCTTTGGTCCTTCACTCTTCGACTTCACCGACTTCGCGCTTCCCGGAGGTCTACAAGAAGCTGGCGAAGAAGGCGAAGGCGACCGCGGGCGAGAGCGACTCAGGCGGGCCTGCGCCTGCGCCTGCGCCGGGCGGGCGATGCCTGCGCCGAGTCTGGAGGGTTTTCAAACGGTGGACGAATGAGACTCGATGTAGCTTTCTAAGCACCACTTCCTGGTCAGAAGTGTGTATGTGCCTTTCGTTCTATCAACAAATGATTACACACACACATTATTTAGCATGTTTGGCCATTTGAGACATGTTCATCGCCGGTGAAAGAACAAACCCAAAGTGCGCCCTTGTGACACCAGCCACGGCTGTGCCGGGGAAGGAGAAGGCGAAGACGACGAGGACGGGGAGGACGAGGATGAAGACAGCGACGAAGGCCGGTCAGTTTGCTTCTCCGAGCAGCTTAGGTTGAGAATTCCTTGACATCACTTTCTTTTTTGGGTAGGTCGAAGTATTGTAGATGACCTTCTCCCGCCAGTGCTATTTTCAAGCTAGTTTTTCTTCTGCAGGCTATGCTTTACCCACATGGTCCCTGTTTGTTTGATCAGGACAGCAGCATGGTCTAAAGGCTGAGCCAGCTTGTGGAAGAAGACACATCTATACAGTAGTTAAAGGACAGCCAGATGTGGAGCTCCTTCAGAGATCAGGGATACTAGAACACTTTCCAAACCACTGCTCATGGCCCAGAACATCAGGGCGAGTAGGGCTTATGCATTTTTGACAGCGGTTCTAAGTGTGGCCTCTCAGGTTCAGGGGGCAAAGAGGACGAGGACAAAGAGGACAAGAAAGACGACGAGGGCCACCACCGGTGCCTCGGGCACCGCAAGCTGCGCTTTCGGTGCATGAAGTCATGCCTTCCCCCAACCACCTCTAAACATGGTTTCCATGAAGACCAGTTGTGTTGGTGGGACCTGTTGTGAGCCTGGAGGCCATGGAGGTTTTACCCTGGAAGCCCGTGGACCGGTCGAAGGGGCAGCCTGAGTTGCGCGAGCGGTGGGCGTGGTTTGCTCGCGGTAGGTGAGCGGTAGGTTGGAAGATGAGTGAAAGAGTGGACATGTGAACAACCGATGTATAAAGATTCCAAGTCCATTGACTCCCATGAACCCAAGGGACACGAGGGAAGCTAGCAGGCGGCTAGCATGACACATCTTACCAAACACTTATGTCACATGCAGCTTCCAGGTGGTAGAAACGTGTGTGGCATAAGTCTGATAGTTCGTCCAACCCACACGGAGCTTTTTGCCAAAGGCCTGGCGAGGAGTAGTGTCCTGATGCCCAGGCAGCATGGGCGTGGGTGAAAGCTTCGCAAAGGACCTCGGAAAAGTCAGCCCCGTCGGGTGTGAACACCAGTCCGGGAACCAGTAATAACAACAACTCGCAAAACGCTTTTGGAGTTGGTTGTGGTGTTGGAACAATTACAGCAGGGTGGTACTAGTTCTTGCAGGGAACTCATCATGAGGTGGCAGAATCACAGCTGTGAACTCAGAGTTCTGATACGGGTTTGATTGGGGCCCCTTTCCAGAACTTCCAGATGATTTTGAACATGATTTTTTTTTCATGTCCAGTTTGCACTTGCCTAGGTTTTTGAATGCGCGATGCCTTCCAGGTGTTTTTGAAGATGTTTTCTCTGCACCAAGTCAAAGCAGACGCGAACTGGCCTGTGGTGCCACCACCAAGCAGGTCGCTGGTCCATCGCCAGGTCGCCTGCCTCGCTCGGCTGCCTACAGCCTCGCTGCCAGGGAGAAAGATGCGAACTGACCATGGCAGGGTTGATGGAGGCACTGCACTAGGTATGCTGAGGGAAGCCATTGTTGGTGTTTACAGTGGTGGCAGTGACCATTTTCTTGTTTTTCCAGCCCATACCTGGGCTTGTGATACTGGATTGGGGTGTGAGAATTGCTCGGGTGTCTACTCTTTTGTAGTGAATCTGGTGCTCGAAATTCATGTTGACGAAAAAGCAGAAAAGCAGAGCCACAAATCTCCATGACTGGTGCGCACTTGCAATGATCTCAGAACAGGTGGCTAATCGATTTGTTCTTGGTGGCTCTCGATGCATAACTCCAGGTGACTAATCGATCCATTCCGAAGGTCAGCCACCCTGATTCAAACTCAGCCACCCTAGTCAGCCACTCACCAGTCAGGTGCCTGTTCCCGGGTCAAAAAAGGGGACGCGCGCAGGGACGCGCACACCAAGCCAGCCTGACAGTCGCGTGACTGAGAGCGTCGCGTCGACAAAGCGAGCGCAGCGCACCCAAAGACCCCGAGTAGTAACTTGTCCCATGTCTCTTCAACTCCTTCGGACTTTTGGGAATGCGGTTTTCTTGAAACATCCCACCTGGGAATGGGGAAGACCTTCGGTGGTGTATGGTATTTTTATCCTTTCTTTTTCGCGAAGATTTGAAGGATCTGGGTTGTTTTACTTTCATGACCTGCAACACTCGGGGAGTACGACACATTCACTTGTTCTATAGACGAGATGTCGGCCTGAAACCTAACCATCATCTGCACCCATCAGGCTAGCTCAAGACGGATCCCACCAGGTGGTGCTGACCAGGTGGTGCTGACAGGTCGACCACATCGACCACAAAGGATCCCACCGGGTGAAAAACCGCCGGTGAAGGTTTCGCGTTTTCTGCCAGGTAACCGCGTGCAGCTTGCGAGTGAGTGGTTGTTGCAGGTTGAGGTGTTTTTCTTTGATCTTCCGTGCCGATTCCTTTTTTTGGTCCTGCCGTCATTTGCAGTGCTCAAAGAGGGTTTTCACGGATAGATTGATCCCAGTTTTCTCGAACTTCAAGATGCCTGTGGGCGTCTTGGCAGACAACGCATGTGCGGGGGGTCGAAAAAGGGGGTCCGGGTCCTCGACGTGTGTGGCGGCCGGGATCCTGCTGGTCTGGTGTGGTTTGGTGTGGTCTGTTGAAACTTCACCGGATCCTGCTGGAAGCATTTCTCGGGACAAGCCGATCTGATGAGTGACCGAAAACCCTCCAACCCTCCGGGCTGTTTGAGGTCCCCTTGTGGCGCGCGAACCCCGAACCGAACTGCTTCGGGTCGTTCGGGGGGTCACTCTTCGTTGCGACATAGGGGGGTGAGACATCTCACCACCCTGGCACCTCCCTTCCTCTTGTGCTTGGTGTCCCATTCTTGTGCCCAAACGGTTGGGTTTTTCTTCGACGGTTGGTTTGTGCATTCGGTCGACTTGGGATCCGTGCTTCGGCGGAACGCCGCCGAGGTATGGGAATCAACGGCTTCGGCCGCATCGGACGATTGGTCTTCCGTGCTGCATCCTCCAACCCTGATGCCGAGGCGCGGTCGGTGGACCAGGGGGTGTTTGGGATGGTCTGACGTGTGGAGGGTTCTGATTTCGGAGAAGTTTGAACCTTTAGAGTCAGAGACTGTTTGTGGTTGCCGAGCTGTAGGGTGCAGGCTTCTTTTGTTTGGCAGAATTGAAGGCTTTTCGCGTATGATGAGCATGTTTCTGATAACCCAACTCATCCTCGTTCAGATTTGCCAGCATATGCCATGAACAACCACCGTCATCAATGTAGAAATCCGGAAGACAGAAACGAACAAACAGCCTCGAACAAATTGAGATGCAGATGTTCTCCTTTTGAAACTTGCTGTCAGCGTTTTGAGACTTGCACTCTCCTCACCATCACAACAAATTCACCGCTCCCCCAAACCCCCTACCAAGGGCTGGGCTGATTCATGGAGACTCGTGATCCCGGCTACTCCAGCCACGACCGCCACGCCACCGGGGTGCAACTTCAATCAACTCGCCGTAGTCCTGCGCATGGCGACTGGTCGTGGTCGCCAGGTGAAGGCCATCAACGACCCCTTTATGGCGACTGGTCTGTCATCAAAAACGCGTGGCGTCAGCAAGCGTGGGCGCGTCGAAGCGTGGTGGAGGGGAAGTTCTGAGGTCAGATGTGCCCATGACGGCCATGCCATGGCTCAAGAATAGGCTGACACCCAAAACTCTTGGTCAAAGAACGATTTTAAACAGACATCTACTGGATGTTTCTTTGTTCCTGATATCTTTACAGAAGGAACCACATCAAAGGAAAGCTGTTCCTGGAGGTTCTATGGCTTGAACCCCAGAACGGCCTGCCGGCTGCCACCGACCGACCCGAAGCAGCGGCCAGCTGCTTGTCACCAAGGATTTGGACTACATGGTCTACCAGTTGAAGTATGATAGCGTGCACAAGACCTTTGCAGGAGAGCAGGATGTTGAGTGTTCTAAGGTTTTCTTCCAGAAAACCTTTGAGCCGCTCACATGGGGTGTGCATGCTGGGAGGTTTGCTCTGTTGGGGTGTGCATGTTGGTGTGCTTTTGGGGCGTGCAAGTTCTTCTTTGTTGAGGTTGATCTCAAGTGCTGCAACTTGAGTAGTGGTGAAACAAAAAGGAAGATATACACATAGCCTTGGCATACTAATACGGATTGCAGGTGCCATTTACCCACCACAATTTTCCAGTCGATCTACACACTACATTTTGTATTTTTTTCAACCGAATGCACGTCTTCCGGGTTTTGGTTGCCTGAAGATCATCATCTTTTTTCCGTTACAGGCGCGCCACACTGAACAGGCTGCCATCTTGGTCTCAGCCATCCTTCACATTCTCCTTCGCTTCTTGCTTTCCAGCTTGGACGGTCCGATGCACCAGGCACCATCGCGGCCAAGAAGGATGGCGCGAAGGAATTCCTAGCGCCTGGACTGATGGCGCGAATGAGTGAAGGGCACAGGGGGCACGGGCTGCACGGGGGGCACGGGCTGCACGGGGCACGGGCTGCACGGGGCACATCGTGACGGGAACGCCGAAACGGGCCACGAGGTGGTGAACGGCAAGGACATCGCCGTCTTTCACGAGAAGGACCGGGTGCGAAGTCCTTCGTCGAAAGAACGGAGTGTTTGGGTGCTTGGGGGCACTCACTTCGTGAGGTGGGTGGGTGCAACCGGTCCTCACACCGCCCGGTCCTCGAGCTGGGTCCGACCGTCAAGGACCCCGCCTCGATCAAGTGGGGGGAGAGCGGCGCGGAGTACGTCTGCGAGTCCACCGGTCCGGGAGCTGCGGTGCGCGGTGCGCGGGGCTGGTGGTCGGAGTAGCTTGAGGCTTTCTCCAACCTTGGAGTCAAGACGTTGGAACTGAGGCCTCAGTCTATACCTGAGAACTTCGGGAGTTCGACTCCAACATTCAAAGCTCCTCTATCAATGTAGTTGAACTTGGGGAAGAATGGATGAAGAGGTCCTCTGGGGCAAGATTCTGTTTTGGTCCAAGGCGTTTGGAATCCCTCAAGGGGCCAGTGGATACTAGGGATAAGAGCAAGAGCAAGGTTTTAAAGAACCCTCGCGACAAGAGAACACTACTGCAGCTATGGCAGCTATGGAAGGAAGAAACACTAAAGATCGTTTGGGATTTGAAAACCTCTTGTATAGATGTCGTCAGTCGTAACATCCCAAAATTCAACTGAGATACCAGCTTCTTCAAAGTGACCTTTTGAAGGTTCCTAAGTAAACCAGGCAATCGAAAGGTCACTTTGAAGAACCAGGTAGACCGATGACCGATGGGTTCTTGTTTCAATGGATCAGAGCTGTCTAAGTACGATCCGTTCGCTGTCGGGCAGGAGAACTCCCAGGAAACTTTGAGTTTTTGTGTCGGAGCGTACTATAAGCCTTATGTCGGCGAATCCGCCCTTAAGTTCTTGTGTATAAGTTGTTTTCCAACCACCCTGCAGGACAACTCGTGTCACTCTCAAGGCAGAGCGTTTTTCGCGCAGGACCACTCGTCCGACTCGGACCCTCCGCCCCCGCGGCCGGGCGCCGAGGCATCTTCACGACTCAGGAGAAGGCGCCGAGCCGCGGAGCCGTACGGCCGTTGGCCGGAGGTCGGTCGGTCGTTGTACGGGGTCCTCCTACGTGGACTCGGGGCCCGTCGCGGCGAGGTCCGAGGTCGGTGTTTGGCATTGGGCGGCCCTGTCACCCGGGCCCGGCCATGCGGTCGCAGGGGAAGCGGGACATGTGGGTTCCACGTTTGCCGAACTTCTCGCCTGGGAGTCCTTGGGGCAGCCGGGCATTTGGGTTCTTCGTGATTGGCCAAACCTAAGGACGACTGGCGACCCCAATCATGTTTATTTTTCTTTTTTTCGAATCACGACTCAACATCAAAGGCATGCAGAAACCAAAAAATACATAAAATATGCAGCGACATATATCCAATTCATGACTCTGACCAGCCATGCCTCTCATTGCTCTAGAACAAGCCGGTTGCGCTTGGACCCTTGGGCGCTGGCGCGTCGGCATCGGCATCCGCGGGCACCGCGCGCGTCCACGGCATCCGCGTGCGGAGGCCTCGCTGCACATCGGTGGAGGTGCCAAGAAGGTCATCATCTCCGCCCCTCCTAAGGCACGGGCGCCGCGCGGCGGCCCATGATGGGTGGGGGGTCCATGGGTGTGTTCTGTGTGTAGAAGATGGACTCCCGGAGTAACAGGCATGAATGTTTTGGCGGGATGTGGCTAGGACCCAGGAAGCAAGAATGAACTAGGCTAGAAGGAGTACATATTCCATCAAAAACGTCTTGAACTTGTGTCATCATTGTTCTTTTCTTTCACTTAGTGGATTTTTTTCGGATGGAGCACGTCGCTTCTTAGGGATCCGGTTCGTTCTTCCGGTCAGGATTCCGTCCCAATGTACGTGATGGGCGTGAATCACGAGCAGTACAAGAGCAGCGACACCGTCGTGGGCAACCTCAGACGGGTGTTTTTGAAGCGAAGAAAGACACGACACTGGACTCTATGGGACTGGAATATATGCCTATACATTCACCAATGAGAGCCCTGAACATATCCCAATGACAGGTCAAGATGGCAGTCCCATGGATTGTTTGGGGAAGAACTTGGGCATACATTGACGGAGGTCCCTCCGTGAGCACAATCCATTTCAGCAGTCATCGTTGCCATTGTGTATATGCTGGACAAAATGCCACTGTGACATGCCCCTTTGCAGTTCATCAAGTCCTTGACAAGTCCTTGGCATCTTTCTATTCAAGACAACACCTCTTTGTTTTGGGTTGTCTCTTCCAGCTTTCCCGCCGCCGCAGCTCGACAACCCAGGTCTCCAATGCGTCCTGCACGACCAACTGCCTGGCGCCTTTGACCAAGGTGGGGCGGAGGACGACTTCGGTCGACGACTTCGCGGCGGCCGAGCACGACGTCACCGACCCATGGCCGTGGTGCTCGGGTGGGACCGCAGGGCGGGGTGCCCCTGGGGCTCTGCCTGGGGTCCCGCTGGACCTCTTCGGGCACAGTCGTTTTGTTTTGTAGACTCTTGATTCATAAACCATCTTTTTGCTTTAGACTTTAAACAACATCTTCATGTGGGGGTTGAACTATCGTCAAGAGTCTGTCTACATTACTATCAACTTGGGAGTCTTGGCAGGTGGTCCATGACAACTTTGGCATCGTTGAGGGCTTGATGACCACAGTGCACGTGGCTTGGGTGCTGCATTTTGATCGAATGGGCGATGGTGCTGCAAAAAAGTTGGTGTCGAAATGTAACGAACAACACAGAGGATATGTGGATCCCGTGGATGCTGAGGGGAATCCCGGGGGAAACTCAAAGACGACATGTCAAGTCAAGTCGTTTCATCTGTTTTTTTTGGCTATCGGCAAGGTCGGAAGACATGTGGTACCCCTATCTGCGTACTGCAAGCATATGGCAGCCGCATAGTCAAGAACGTATGATGTTTATTTAATATGGGGGGGGCCGTGGGGTGAATTCCAGCAACCCAAACAGCGACCCGCGACCCATCCAAACGGCCATCGTCATCCCCCAAGAAAGGTAGAGAACGAAAGAAGATCGAGCCTCACGAAGTCTTGGGGAGACGGATGTAGGATGTAGACATATGATAGACTCTTACTCTAGACGATATTTCAACCTCCCATATGAAGGGGGTCTTACCATCCCAGCAGTTTTATTCGTTGTTTTTGTTTTTCCGCTTCCTACGATCTTAAGAGACCTCAAGCAGACGGAGGCATCCAAGTCGACATCGCTCCACAACACTCCGCTGGCGCGCCTTCTGAGGCCATGACTGCGACACAGCTCACGGTGGATGGCCCCTCTCGTGGTGGCAAGGACGAGTGACGGTAAGCGCCGGGAGGAGTTTGGAGATGCCAGACATGCCGTGGTCGCAGCCAGAATGCGCACAGCTCCCAGGAGTCGTGACTGCCCAGAAACAAGTGCATGCAAACAGTTTTGCAGCAGTTCACGCACACAAAAACACACACATTGTATCAAATTGACTATATACA